GCAGAAGCTTACCTCCAGTTCTGTTCCTGCCCACCCATGCCCACTTCCCTCCTGCTCACTTATCTATTTCTTTTTGCTCTGACATCTCCCACCTGTCCCCCCCTCCCCACCCACAGACCCCAACCAGGCATCACGGTTCCTAACGAAACGGAACTGCTGCCAGATGAAATATATTACTATTAAATACTTAATTCTTCTAGTGAGCAGAGAGCAGGCAGTATGAATACGATTATTAAAGAAAATTACTTTGGCTGATCAGATATTTCTGCATACTAATTTCTGACCCCTCTTCCCTCACTCCTGCTGCTCATCCCTTAGAGACCCGGACAGATAAAATTCCATCACAAATAGCTGATTACCAAGGCTGGCATTAAAACCCACATTTTCCTCCTGCCCCTCACTCACTCTCGTGTGTCTTCTCTGTGCTGATGTCCTTGCTTGGAGAGGGGGTGCCTCTGGAGAGCAGCTTCCCTCTGGACAACGTTAGGGACACCCTATTCCCTTCTTCTTGTCTGAGTCTACTTTTTCTCCAATATCAGCAGACCCCTTATTCCAATCATTCTCTAAGTGGGCAGAAGACCCAGGAAGCTCAAGGAACCTTGCTTTCAGTTCCTCAAGGGTCTCAGGCTCCAGTCTCTTGCTTCTTGTGCTTAAGAACATGGCAGGTCGCCCATCAACCAAGACGGCTGACTATGCCTGGGGCTGGGCTGTCAGGGTCGTAAGAAAGGGACCGGAAGTGGGGTCTACATCCCGCCCACAGGGGAGGGACTTCCTAATTGTTCGGAGCTTTCTGATTGGCTAAACTTTAGGGATCTTTATAAACATCTGGGGGATAGAGTGAGCAAATTCATTCATTCACTTATTAAAAACAACAAGGTTTTATGTGTGTCTGTGTCTCCAACATGTAACTCAGAGTTACACGTTCTAGGGTGTGTTTTCATCCGAATTACATGTTCTAGGGTGTGTTTCCATCTGTAAAATGGGGCTAACAGCAATCTGTACTTTATAAGATTCTTGTGAAGATTGATGAGTTAATATATAGAAAGCACTCAGGACATTGCCAGGCATTTAGCAAAGACCATGGAAGAGCCACACATAGTGGCACACACCTGTAATCCTAGCACTCGGGAGGCAGAGGCAGGAGGATCACTGTGAGTTCGAGGCCAGCCTGGGCTACAAAGTAAACTCAAGTGCTGGTGATACAGGTCAGTGGCACAGCACCTGTCTGGCAAGCACGAGGTTGTGAGTTAGATTCCTGGTACCCACCCCTATGTGGATTTCAAACTAAATTCAAGACCAGCGTGAACTACATAGTGAGACTGTGTCTCAAAAAACCAAAAATAAAGAAAAATAAAATAATAAATTATTAAAAAAATAAAAGCAAAGACCATGGGAGTGATAGCAATTGTTACCAGCATTATTACCGTTGTTACCGTTGTTTGTATAACTTTGAAATGTATTCCCGCCTGCTCACGAATGGCATCTCCCCACAGTTCCCAGGTTAGAGGTTTCTCCGGCCTTCTTTCCTGGGTCTCTGCCTCGCTGGTCTCCCCAAGGGCCCCTCCACCCCACTTGGAGCCCCCACCTATTTCAGGCCATGGTTGCCACAGCAATTGCCAGGGTTCTGACAGGAGGGGAGCCTGCTAAAAATACACCCATTCCCACAATCCCATAAGACTTCAATTTACCTGCTTTTATAAAAAGATGCTTCCTTAGGTGTCACCCTGTGGAAGGTATAATTACAGCCTGGGAATGTTAATTCCTTTGCTCCTGATATGCGGAACACTGCTCTGCAGGGCTCCTGTCCTCCTCAGAACCCTAGGAGGGAGATGGGCAGCCAGGGAGGGAGGCAGTTGGGTGGGAGGTGATGCCAGGCCTGGAGTCCTGTGGGATCACCCTAAACCAGAGGCGGGGTCACCGTGAAACTGGAAGCAGGCCCAGGGGAGCTGGGCAAGGCCTGGAGGAGGCGGCTGCAAACCCGGCTCCCCAGGAGCCCCCTGGTGGCTGGAGCTGGACAGGGTGGCCGCCGGGACAGAGAGCCGGACAGTCTTGGACCAGAGCTAGTTTCAGACCCCACGCTGGAGCTATACTTGTGACCCTGGAGTCACTTTCTTGTGTTCAAGTGGGCAGCTGTGTGACATCCTCCAGGAAGCAGCCAAGTGACGGGGCTCTGGGAGCGCGGGGCACCCTCACTCCATTCTACCTGCGCAGCGAGGCTCCGCTGCAGGGGGGGGGGTGCCGGGTCAGGCAACAGTGGTCGCCATGCTGAGGAATCAGCGCCGGGGACAGGGTATTGGCGCAAGGGAGCCACGGTGCTCCAGGGGTCCTCACCCAGGCTAGGGTGGCACTGCCTCTGCTCCCCTGACCCCCTCAGTCTGTAGGCAACACAGGGACCCCGGGAAAGCCTAAGAAAGGCTGTGTCTTACTCTGCTGAGCGCTCTAGCATGGTGGAGGGCTTTTCTCAGGAGCTGTTGGGGACAGGGACATGACACTTCTGCTGCCAGCCTGGGGGGATCACAGGTTTGGAGCCTGCATCTTTCACCTCTAGCAATCCCCCCACCCTCCCCAGCTGGGGACTGAATCCAGAGCTTTCACACTGAGCTGCACCCCAGCCCTTTTTATTTGGAGACGGGGTCTTGCTAAATTGCCCAGGCTGTGCTTGCAGTTGTGATCCTCCTGCCTCAGCCTCCCGAGTGCTGGGATTATAGGTATGCAACTCCCTGCCCAGCATATCAGGGAGGCTTGAGTTTAAATCCTGAGTCTCCCACTTAGCTAGTGGACTCCGGGCATCACTTTCTATCTGCACAATGGGAATGCAAGTACAGCCACTGCCAGGGGTCCTGAGGGTAAATGCATATAGCAGACCCATGAAGGCATCCAAAGCAGCATCCCGTGCAGCCTATCGGCCCATAAGGAGCCTCGCTGTGCTTCTGGTAGGCCGAGTTCGCGTCTCCCCAGCGGGTAAGCACTCTCAGGGCAGGAGTCCCCCCTGTAGGCATAGCTGTCACCAAATCTGCCCTACGAGTGGATGATTGTGTCAGTGAACACTCAACCCACTGAATTCAGTGGAAACTAAGCTGCTGAAGGAGAAGAAAGCTGGGCGTGGTGGTGCACGCCTGTAACCCCAGCACTCAAGAGGCTGAGGCAGGAAGATCATTGTGAGTTCAAGGGCAGCCTGGGCTACATAGTGAGACTCTGTCTCAAAAAAACAAAAAAGAGAGAGATCCTATTGACTCCATATCAACCTTGGTGCCAGTGTGTGTGGGAGCTGGGCAGAGCTGACCTCCTAGCAGGCAACCGGCAGACATGCCTGAGCTGGGACCTACGGGGTGACCTGGCCGAGTCCACAGGGAGGAGGGCCTGTCCCCACCCCACTCTGGATGGAGGCCCCAGGGTGGGGCATGGAGGCCCGAGGCACTGTGGGCCTGGTCCCTCAGAGGTGGAGACACAGAGCCCGGAGTGTTTGTTTTTCCTTGTAGACTTTCTCTAAATAAACCGTGGCTGGCAGAAAGGGGCTCTGCTCAGCGGCTGTTTACCCAGTGACCACGATTAAGAGGCTTCTCCATGGCAACAGGTGGCAGCGGGCACTCTGGGAGCAGGGCAGGGCTGTGCCCACTGGAGAGAGCGGGGGGCGGGGTGCGCGGGGAGGAGGGTTCGAAGGTGCTAGAGGCAGCCGACCCATCAGGGCTGGGAAGTGAACGGAGAGAGACCAGGAAGGAAAGCGGAAGGGCTTCGCAGGTTTCTGTCCCCAGGGGCCTCTGAGAGAGGCCTGGTGGCTCTGAGGAGGAGGGGCCACCCGGAGATGTGCAGTGAGGTGTCCTGGCTCAGGCGCTTGTGGACAGAGGCCCCTCACAAGGGGCTGGTGGGCTGTGTCCCAGGCAGACTGTGTCAAAGTGCTTGAACATCCAGCTCCCGAGTGTGTGTGTGTGTGTGTGTGTGTGTGTGTGTGTGTGTGTGGCCCCTCTTCACTGGGAAGGGATGGGTATCAGTTTGCTAGCTGCCCTAGGGGCCGCAGACTTGTCCCAAAACAGCAGAAGCCCAGTGTAGTGGTGCATGTCCGTCAACCCAGCACTCTGGGAGGCTGAGGCAGGAGGATGGCGTGTTCTAGTAGCCCAACCTGGGTAATTTAGTGAAGTCCTCCTCAAAATAAAAATGGAGCTTAATTCGAAGGTCCTGGGTTCAATCCCTATCCTACTCTCTCCACAAAAAACAAAAACAAGAACACCCCAAACCAGCAGCAATGTGTTCTCCAGCTGCCAAGGAGGCTGTGTCTGGCACCAAGGTACTGGCAAGGCCGGTTCCTTCAGGAGCCCGGGGGGACACTGTGACCCTGCCTTCCGGCTTCTGGTGATGGTGGCCATCCTTGGTACCGCGCCCCTCCAGTCCCTGTGCAGCTGTGAGCTCGCGTCTTCCCTGTGTGTCTCTGCAGGCGGTGGCTCAAATTCCTTCCTTACCTAAGAAGGCAAGCTCGAGCCTAGCGTGGCTTCATCTTAGCTTTTCGGTCGCATCCAAAAAGTCACACACAGGGGGTGAGGACTTGAGATATCTTTGAGGAACACAGTTGTGCCCACTGCAGGCCTTGGCACCACGAGGGCAGGGTCTCTTGGCCGCTCCTGTATTTCTCCCTCTTCCTTCTCCACAAAGGGGCCGTGGGGGTTTCAGGGTGTGGTGGGGACCCAGCCGGAGGTGAGTTTGGGGGCTGTCAGTCCTGTGACCCTGGACAGGTTGTTTCTCCCTGCTCTCCCTCCCAGGCCTCTCCCAGGGGTGGACACCGGCTCATGCTTCAGCCATGTGGAACCTCATGTCCCACCCGTGGGCACTGAACATCCACCCCACAAGCCCACCCCCTGTTTTTTTTTTTTTTTTTTTTTTTTGGTCAGTTTGAGACAGGGTCTCACCATGCAGTTCAGGCTGGTCTTAAACTTACTTTGTAGTCCAGGCTGGCCTTGAACTCACAATGACCCTCCTGCCTCAGCCTCCTGAGTGCTGGGATTACAGGCATGCACCTCCACACGCGTCCCCCACCTCTGTTGATGTGCAAAGCCTTCTGGAACAACTGCTTTGCTCCAGTCCCTGGAGGAGCAGCAGGGAGCAAACATGGAAGGACATTTGTGTCGGAGACGACAGTGGGGAGTCACAAGGGCACGTTCCACCGTGCCATCGAGGGGGCGGGGCAGGCAGTGAGGCTGTGTCGGGCGCATCCTCCAAGGTCCCCCATGGAGTGGACATCTGGCCGGTGGCTGCTGTGCTCCTGCGGGTCCCCACGGCGCGCGTCCCCCCCGGGTCTGTTGCTCGCTGGCTGCCTCCAGTCTCACTGTCCCTGTTACTATTCTGATCCTCATTACAGAAACGTCTCACCCGCCTGACGACAGCCACACCGCCACGCTGTTCCCCGGCCCGGGAGACAGGGCGCTCGGAGCTGCCGAGCAGTCAGAGTCAGGCAGCCGAGGGGGAGTTGACGCCTCTGGAGCTGGGGGGAGTCAGGCAGCTGCGGGGGGCTTCTGGTGTCAGCTTCTCCTCCGAGCTCTGTCCTCCCCATCCCACCAGCAGCTCTGGCCGCGGCACGCGGCTTCCTCCGGGCTGCACCTGCCACCCTGAAGCTGCGAGGGCTTCAGAGCCAGCCCTGTGCCTTGCGGCTTTGCAGTCGGGCACCTGCCCAGGTGTGGGCGCACAGCAAGTGCTCCATAAATGTCCTTGCAAGCTGGTGGAGCATGGCCTGTTTGGTGTCCTTGGCCCACGGGTGGGGCGGCACAATGCAAGAAATCGGAGAGGAATGACAGGAAGTTTCCTGTTCCCATCCAAGGAGCAAAGTTCTTCCAGAATCACAGTCCTGGAAATTCCCTGTGACAGACTCAAGCCTTGGTACGGAACGTGACCTCCTCTTCCCGGGCTCTCTGATGACGCTGGCTGGGTCCTTGGGCTTTCTGGGGCCTCAGTGTCCTCATCTACAGAGTGGGGACATCGCTTTGCTTGCCTCGGGGCTGTGGGGAGGGCTGAGCGAGTGACAGCACAGTGACTTTGGGGCACACAACAGAAGGGGTCTGTGTGCAGCACAAGTGTGGCTTCCCTAACGGGACATCACCAGGCCTCAGTAGAAGGGCCGCCTGCCCGTGGCCAAAGGGGCCGGGGAGGGTGAGTCTGGAGGGCAGTGGCCGGGCGCTGGGGGTTTAGGAGCCCCGGGGAGTGGGTGAGCTTGGGACCCTGGGACAGATCCCGGGCAGTGAAGACACAGGATGGTGTCGCAGGGAGGAGCAGGAAGGTGCGGAGCGGCAAAGGCAGGGTTCCTTCCAGCCCCCGGCGACGCGTGCAGAGAAACAGCCAAGAACAGAGCCCTCAAAGTTTCCAGCACTCTGCTAAAATTAGCCCCGTCTTGCGTGCTCGGCTCTATATTTAAACCAGCGGCCTGTCAGAGAGAGCGCTGTGCCGGCAGCACATGCCAGCGGGTTTGGGGCCCAGGGTGGCAGGGGGCAGGCAGCTTCCCCGAGCACGAGCAAGCGATCCGTCCGCACCGCATCTGTCGCAGAGCGGCTCGGGGCGCAGGGCCACTCCCTCCGGCGGGATGGAGGAAGAGACCGTGGCAGAGACAGATGCGCCCACACGCAGACAGGTGGAAAGGAGGCCGCTGGGTGGGGAAGGGCAGGGACAGAGTGACAGCAGCGGAAGGCCGGGCAGGAGGGGCAGCCGGTTCCCGAAGGCAGCGTGGCACGGAGGTGGTAGCATCCAGTCTAGGGGACGGTGGCGGGGCCCGGGGAGTCCTACCACCGGGCAGCCCTGCCAGGGGCCAGAACTGCTCTCCTCCTCCCTGCTGCCCTCCCTCTCAGGGGACAGTGCTGGCTGACAGGAGAGGCTGGGACATTAACTTTGACGCTGAAGAGGGGATGATTTATTACCCAGGCATAGTTCTGCATCTCTTCAGAAACCTGTCCCTCGGGCCCAGCCGCCAGCCGCCAAGCCTGCAGGCCCAAGAGGCTGTTTTGTCCCGGACGAGGTCTCTTGTGGCCTTGTGGCTGAGCGCGGGCCCTGCCTGACGCTCAGTGTGTGTGCATGCATGTGCTTCTGCATGTGCACCCACGTGTGTGCATGTGCGCTTGCCGGGGACAGCTGAGGTGACCCGAGAGCCCTTCCGGGTGTCTCGCGGTTCAGACAGTGGAATGCCAGGGCCAGGTGGGGAGACCGAGTCTGGCCTGAGTCTCCCAGTCTGTTCAGTGCCTTCTCTGCGTCTCCCTCTGCCAGAGCGAAGTCTGCCATCCGTAGTGGGCAGGGACAGCCTGGCGGGGGTGGCTCTCCTTTCTCAAGCCCAGCTCTGACTTTCCAGGAGAACCGCCCAGGCTTTGCTGTGACTGCCCTGATGTCAGCACCAGAAGCCCCACACCCACAGTGGGGTGGTTGGTGACACACTCTCCAATTCTCTCTGTGCTCCTGGAAGTAATACAGAGTATGGTTACAGTAGCTGACAGCCATTGGCCCTGGCTAGAAGCGCAGAACAGTTGTGCTGAGCACTTAACACTGAACGCTTACTCGGCACACTCTGAGGAAGTCGTCGCTGCACCCATTTCACAGGTGACCGAGGTGACCAAGGTGAGACAGGGCAGGGAACGGGTCCTGAGCTGAGACAGGCAGAGGCAAGATTCGAACCTGTCTGCTCCAGCTCCAGGGGTACCACCCCTTTTGGCGGTACCGTGGATGGGAACCAGTATGGTTCAACTTCACCACTGAGCTACATCCCAGCCTTTTTGTTTTGAGACAGAATCTTCCCAAGTTGCCTCGCCTGGTCTCAAACTTGCAGTCCTCCTGCCGTAGCCTCCTGAGTTGCTAGGATTATAGTTATGCGCTACCATGTCCCAGCCAGGGAGCTCCCTCAGGCGCAGAGTACTCCCTCTGCTGCAGAGGGCTCCATGTGCTTAGTTAATGAGGCTGTGTCCTTGCTCTACCAAGCAGCCTGGCACAGCCCCATGTCTCCTTAACCCAGGGCCTGGCACAGGCTTGGCTGGTGATATCACTGAGCGGTGCTGGGGAGGCCGCACCCTGCCTGGCCTCGGCTGGCACCGATTTCCTCCCCGTCTTGGCCTCTTGACATCTTTCTTGTTCCTGTTTGGCATCTTCCTGGCTCCACGCCCTGTGTGCCAAGTCCCGAGCCAGGCCTGGCCCGAAAACCCGCGCTCCTGTCCCTGAGGTTCCGGACTCAGTCTCTGGCCTGAGGCCGCCCAGCCTGGCCCTCTTTGAGGCCCCCATTTCCGGGCAACCCAGACTCTGATCCACGGATCGTGGAGGTGGCCCCTGGCTTCCCGGGCCTCTGCTCAGGCCCCGCCACGGGGGATGGATCCCCACGTCGGTGCGGGTGGCCCAGCTCTTGTGGTTCCTTCCGAATCCAGAAACTCTTAGTGAAATTACAGCTTTAATTAAATACAGCTGGCTGTGCGTTGTACTCCGTATAATTATCGTGTTATTATTATTATCACTTAGAGGAAAGTTCAAACAAAGTTTATTGTAAATAGCATTTGACAGAGATAACTGAACAGCCGAGGGCCATGGCCCTGCCCACGTCCCCCTGCAGGATGCAGAGTGGTCACTGCTGCCCGGGGGCAGAGCAGGGAGGGTCTCCTGAGGACACAGGTGCACTCGGTCAGCTGTGGCCTCGGGGAAGTCCCTCCTCCTGTCTTTAGGGTCCCTAACAGAGAGGGACCCACTCATCCTGCAAATATTAAGACCTGCTGTGTGTCTGGCTCTGTTCAGGCGTTGGAGTTCAGTGGCCAAACAAGCAGAATGAAGTTCTGCCTTCATGGAGTTTATACTCTAGTACAAAGGAGAAAAGAGGCAGGTGACACACGCCTGTAATCCCAGCACTCAGGAGGCTGAGGTAGGAGGATCACTGTGAGTTCAAGGCAAGTCTGAACTACATATCGAGGCCCTATCTCAAAAAATTTTTTTTTAAAAAGGAGAAAGGCAATCATTATATACACAAACCAATAGGTACATAGTACTGGGGAGGGGTGAATAACTGGATAAAAAACAAAGCAAGGTAAGGGAGAGAAAGGGAAATTGGAGCAACTTGGGGGGGGGTCTATTTCAGGAAAGGCCCTCAAAAGGGTGACGATGTGTAAGCAGTGACTGGATAAAGTGAGGGTGGAGCTGTGAGCAAACAAGGGGAAACGCTTCAGGCAAAGCACAGCATGTGCAAAGGTCCGGGGGCAGGACCCTGACCAGTGCTCAAGGAATGACTGGGAGCAGAGTGCTGGGAGCTGATGAAGGGAAAAAGCAAAAGGGAAGAGATGGGATTGGAGGGACAGCAGGCCACGGAGAGGTAAGGACCTGGGGTTTTGCTCAAAATGTGAATCAGCTGTGCACACGCCTATAATCCCAGCTACTTGGGAGGCAGAGGCAGGAGAATCACAAGCTGGAGTCTAGCCTGGACAACACGTCCACTTTATCAAGATCCAGGTTCAAAACAAAGAAAGAAGGGCTGGGGATGTAGCTCAGTGTGAAGGCCCTGGGTTCAATCCCCAGTGGCAAGAGGAAAAAAAAAAAAATAACAAGAGGAGCAAGCGCTGGGCAAGCACCTGTCTCTCGGGCTCCACCCTGGGCGCTGGGCGCTGGGCTGAGGCAGGAGCCAGAAGGATGCTTACCTGGCACCTGCCAGGGACTTGCCAGGAGGCCCATGCAGAAGCCGTGGAGGTTTTCCTGGCCTAGCCTTGGAAGTCACACAGTGTCACTTTACCCCGTTACCCAGGGCTGTCCCAGGTTTAATCCGCAGGAGTGAGACCTAGGCAGGGGCGCACATTTGGGGGGCATGGTTAACAGAGAGGCTTGGCTGGAGACAGCTACTAGGAACCCACTAGAAAAGCCTGGGAGATGGTGATTCAGGCAGGGCTGTGCATGGACCACTGTTCTGGTTTCCTTTTCTTTTTTTTTTTTTTTTTTTTGAGACAGGGTCTCGCTATGCAGTTCAGGCTGGCCTTGAGCTCACTTTGTGGGCCAGGCTGGCCTCAAACTTACAATGATCCTCCCGCCTCAGCCTTCCGAGTGCTGGGATTACAGGCGTGCACCACCACGCCTGGCTTCCTTTTCATTTTTGTGCTTCTTTGAGACAGGGTCTCGCTCTGTGGTCCAGGCTGGCCTTGAGCTCACTTCCTATCAGCCTAGGAAGCTGAGATGCCCAGCCCAGGAATAGCACTTCTGGGTGCAGTAGGAGTGGACTGAGAGTCTTCGCCCCAGACCCCAGCTCTGCACGGCAGTCACAGCCCCACCGCCCCTGAGAACGGAGCCGTCAACACCAAGTTCGGGTCGTGCTGTGCGGACACAGATCTGAGGCTCACGACCGCCCTGAGCTCGGCATTGGCGGCGTCCAGAGCCTAGATTTCACCCCGTGAGGCCCGGTGGGGATGGAAGGGGGCGGCACACTGGGCCCCGCTCTGGGCTGCGTGGGATGGGCACGGGCTGCGTACAGCACAAGTCAAGGGCACTGTTAAAAGCCAGGTTCAGAGTGGGCAGCGCTGTGAACCAGGTGCCAGGGCATCTTCGCCGTGGCCTTCAGTGTCCTGTTCAACGCCCTGCGGTCCCAGATGGGCTGGCAACAGCCCAGCCAGGAGGGGCACTGTGGTGCCCAGGGATTCCTATGCCCGGCACCAGGCTCTTGCTGCTGGGCTGGGAGGAGCAGGGAATGGAGGGCTGGCATAGCAGAATCCGGGGCCCCATGCTCGCTAAGTCCTCAGTGACTTTCAGGTAGATGTTGAACCCCAACCCCACTCCTGATGAGGCGTCAGAGGGCTGGGGTGGGCTTGCACGTGCCTGGTTTTGTTGTTGTTTTTGTACTGGAATTGAACCCAGGGCCTTTGCATAAAGCTATATCCCCAGCCCATAATTTTTTTTTTTTTGTCTTTTTGAGACAGAGTCTCATTATGCAGTTCAGGCTGGTCTTGAGCTCACTCTGTAGCACAGGCTGGCCTCAAATTTGCAATGATCCTCCTGCCTCAGCCTCCAGAGTGCTGGGATTACAGGCATGCTCAACCATGCCTGGTTTATTTTTATTTTTTATTTTATTTTATTATTATTATTCTTTTTTTTTTTGGTACCAGGAATCAAACTCAGGACCTCATACTTGCCAGGTAGTCACTGTGCCACTGAACTATATCCCTGGCTGTTCCCAGCCCATAATTTTGATGGGCTTTTTTTCTCCGCTACCGGAAATCGAACTCAGGACTTGCCAGGCAGGTGCTTGTACCACTATTTCCCCGGCCCCTCCAGCCCATAATTTTGAGACGGGATCTTGATAAATAGATAAACTGCCCAAGCTGGACTCAAACTTTCGATCCTGCTGCCTCAGCCTCCCAAAGCCCTGGAATCACAGGTCTGCACCATCACATCGAGCTTCCTGATTTCCTAGAAGGGTTTTTATTTTTTTCCCTCTTCTCCCCTCTGGAGTCTTCAACCTGCAGCTTTCCCGGTTTGAGGACAGCAGCAGGCCGCTCCTGGCAGCCGAGCCTGGGTGGCGGACCTGTCACCTGGCTGGGAGCAGGAGCAGGTTGCTAACTTCTGCTGACACTGGCAGGCCCGCCTTGCAGCCTGATCTTCGTGGCAGCCACACTCGCACAAATCTCTAATTGTTTAGTTTAAAGAATTGTGTTTTGACCGCGAGGGGATTTTGGCTGGAGCTCAAGAAGTGATAATGATATTTCGCTGCCAAGCCGTCTCCTTGGCTCGCCGCGTGTTAACGCGCACTTTCAAGCCGCTCCAATTAACTGCCTCGCTCTGGGGAGAGCAGGAGAGGGCGCCGGCAGGGAGAGGGGAGAGGAGGGAGACTTGGGGGGAGCGGGGGACGGGAGAGCTGACAGCCCCCTCCAAGTCTTATTAGCAAACAAGTGGGGGTGGGCGGTGACAAAGTTCTTGAAGACTCACCTGCTCCCCCAGTGAAGCGGTGGCTTTTGCTTTGGCGGGGAGACCGGACGGCCCGAGAGGCACTGAGGATAAAGACCCGCCCCCAGGGTCTCCCCTCCCCCCTTTCCGCCCGACGAGCGCTCGTTTTTTCTGTCCTTCAGGGATGAGCCCGGGAGCTCAGACTTGGCCCTTTCCTCACACTAACCCTAACCCTTCTCTCTGTTTTAGGGACACCAGCTGGGTGACCTCTGTCCTGCTGCTGAGTGAGCTGTGAGTTAAGGCATCGCCACGGCAACTCCCTGCCTCACCTCCTGAGGTTGTGACCCCGCAGTCACTGGTGAAGCCTTAATTAAAAGTGTAATCTCCTTTTTGAGACAGGGTCTGGCTCAGTTGCCTTGCCTGGGCTCAAACTTGCCATCCTCCTGTCTCAGCCTCCCATCTGGCTGGGATTACCTAACTGTACCACAGGCTCCTTGTTAATTAAGGGTCCTCATCGCTCTCCTAGGCCTCCAGGTCCCCAGGGCTTTTCCATCCCTTCTTTCCATCCCCCCCTCGGTAGGTAGGGAGGCTTCTCCGGGGAGATCCCAGGCCAGGCTGGTGCTGGAGAGGATGGGAGCTGCACGTGATAGGCAGAGTCAGGAAGGCCTCCAGCAGGCCCTGGCACAAACCTTCCTGGGCAGCACACAGACCCCGAGACTGATCATCCCCACCCTCTCCTGGTCGCCATGCAGGTTGCACACCTTCGTGTCCAGGCCCCCCAGGGGACTCCCACAAGTCCCCGGGAGATAGGGGGACCCCCAGCGGTGCAGGGGTGCGAGTGGAGGGTCTCAACTGGGGCCAGATGGTGGGGTGTCTGTGCAGAAGGTGGTGGCCACTAGCATGAGGCCCCTTGCCTCCCCTCCCCCACAGACAAGACCCGCCCCAGCAGGCGCTCACAGCTACACCGCCTCCTCCGGCCCGTTAGGCAGCAGATGCGTCCTGAGGTCACTGCCGCTCCTAGGGCTGTGATTTTCAGAGACTGGGAAACTGAGGTTCCTTGAAGTTAAACAACTTGCTCAAGGCCACACAGCAAAGAGCAGCCAGGCTAAGAGGCAACGGGGCCTCCCTGCGCTCGCGGACCTGGGAGGGAGAGGGGCACAGAGGTGAGCTTCCGGGCAGGGCACACCACCTGACCTGGCCTCTTGATCCAAGGGGGTGCTTAGTCCCAGGCTGATCCCCATTTTCCTGTCTGTGGGAGGGACCCAGAGCGTCCTTCCCACCCTCCAGGTCTCGGCCCTAGTGCCCCCGCCAGCCAGCGGCAGGTCAGCGGCGGGGGCTGGGATGCGGTGGGAAGTGGGTACCCCTTCCCTGCCCCAGAGCACAGCTGTGTAGCAGGCTCGAGGAGGAGACAGAGGCTCCCAGAATTCGAGAGGCTGACACCCCCTCTCACAGCCCCGCCCAGGGAGCTGCCAGGGACTCTAAATTCAGTTGTTCGACTGGGACCCCCGCCTTGCCTGCTGGGGTGACCTTGGGCAATGTGATCAGCCTCCCTCCTGGGATAGCTTCGCAGTGGAAGAGTGGAATCTCATTTCTGCCCGTCTGTGCTCCGGAGCGGTGGTCCGGCACTGTGCCCAGCACACAGTAGATGCTTCCTGGCTGGTTGGTGAGCAGGCACAGCACACACATGGGCTGCAGGTGTCCGCAGGGACAGTAGGAAGGAGGGAGGGAGGAAGGGCGAGGGGTTTAACAGGTACAGAGGAGCCCGGAGTGAGCCGGGCGGGGGTGAGCCAGGCCCAGTGGCCACAGCACCTTCTCTGAACTTGGGTCTCCTGGGCTACAAAATCTGACACATCCTCCACCTGCGGGAGCTGCTGGGAAGAAAACTGAAGCCAGGCGTCTGGCAGCGCCCGGCGTGGGGCCTGTCTTCTCTTTTGGGACAGAAGGAAGTGCCGCAGCTGTTACCGGTCTAACAAAAATATTTATTTTGGAGGAAGGGACCGTCCTGGGCACTGGGGCTGCCGGAGCCCCCCTGGCAGGGGTGCCTGGTGACCTCCGAGCACTGAGCTCTTGGGGCCGTTGTGGAAATGGGAGGCCACACGGTGTTGGGGATCCCACAGATCCTGGGAGGCCGGGGTCTTGCAGGGGAGGCCTGGGGCCTGGCCTTGGGGGTTGTCCGGTGGGAAGCCAACCCAAGGCTGGTTCCCCAAAGAGGTGGGTGTCAAGGAGGGCAAGGTTTGAAGGGTGCAGTGGGGGCCAGGGTGGGCCAGGGGTGCAGCATGGCCTCTGTCCCCAGCTTGGTCCCCAGGCTGCGCTCACCGAGGCTGGGCCCATGGAGGGGCAGCAGGGAGAAATCTTCCCGCCACCAGGCCAAAAGCCCCCACGCAGTATCACCACCGGGGTCCTTGAGCAGCAGGGCCTGGGCCCTAAGCCTACAGGGAAAGAGATCATTGGGTGGATGGGACCCAGGGGTGGCCCAGGAAGAGGTGGGCAGTATGGGGCGGTGGGGAGGGAGGGCGAGAGAGACAGGGCAAGGAGACCAGGACGCCAGGACAGGAGCCAGCAGCGGGTGACACATGGCCACACACCCCCCGCGTCTTCCTCCTCCTCTTCCTTACCCTTCCCCCAGAAGGCCTCTGACACCGAGATCGGCCAGGTTTGGAGATAAAGTTCACCCACCTCTCCTCTAAAAAACAGAACCAGGGGTGGTGGCGCAGGCCTGTAATCCCAGCACTCAGGAGGCTGAGGCAGGAGGATCACTGCAAGTTCGAGGCCAGCCTGGGCTACAAAGTGAGTTCAAGGCCAGCCTGAACTGCATAGTGGAACCCTGTCTCAAAAAGACCAAAAACCCCCAAACCAAACCAAACCAAACCAAACCAAAACAAAACAAAAACCCAGAGAGCAAGGGAGAACTCAGACCAGGGAGGTCAAGAACACATCCTCTGGCACAGGGAGGAACCAGGACCCCATCTCCTCCCATCTCCCAGCTCGAGCCCTCCTGACCCAGATCCTGCATCAGAACTGACCGTTCCAGGGGGTCACAGTGCTGTTCCCCGCCCCAGAGAGAACATGGTGCTGACCCCCGCCCGCCCGCTGAAGCTTCTGCCAGTTATGCAAAGCGCACCCAGAGCCAGGCTGCCCTTCACCTGGGCGTCTTCCCTGCTCAGGTCCCCGTAGCCCCTCACTCCTCCCTGGTGGCCGTGACCACATAGTTTGTCCGGCTTGTGAGGTCTGCGGGTGAGGGTCCTCACAGCAGTGTGGCCGGCTGCGTTTTCTAAACGTTCTGTGTATCTTTCTGGCCAGTATTTGCTTCCAGGCTGGGACTGAGGTCATCTTTGATTAGGTCTGTCCTTGACAGGGAGCTGCACCCCCTCCTACCCTCCCTGGAGCTGGAGGGGAAGGGACCTTCTCTGTCCTCTGAGGCCATGAGCTCGTAGGACCAGCCCCACCTCCAAGCCCACTGTGAGGTCACACTCGGGGTCACAACCTCCAAGGGTCATTGTGTCTTCAGCTAACTAGACCCACACCGCTCCCGATCTCCTGTGCAGAGACGGCCACACAGGTGGAGCCCTTAGGGCTCCTGAGGACCCCCTCTCTTCCCTGAGGGGGTGCAAGGCAGCTGTCTTCTCCTTAATTCCCATGATGCTCCAGGCAGGAGGGTGTTAGGCCCTGCAGTCAGGAAGGGGCTCTAACCCAAGTCCAGGCCTAGCAGTGGCTCGCTATGCAGTGGGAAGGGATTCCCCCCCACAAGTCTGAAGCTAGGAAGCCTGGGGGAGGGGAGGCCTCAGTGACCTGCCAGGCAATGAGACCCCTGCCACACTTCCCACAGTGCTGCTCTGCCTTCTCCTCTTCCCTCCTCTATAAGATTGACACCCCCCACCCCCAGCAGCTGTGGCCCACCTGGCCCAGCCTAGGAGAGGAGCTCCTCCTCCGCTGAGGTCTGCTGCTGACAGCATTTCCGCTGAGATCCCTGAGAAATGTCCACGCTCTCTGAGTCCCTCGAGGGCAGTGTTTGAACGCTCGTGTGCCTGGAAATTGGGTTCTGAGCAAGAAGCAAGGCAGCTTCAGGGACCCCCAGGGCATGGCTGCTGGACAGGCCCGCAGGCTCCCCTGTCTGCTACCCAGGCCTGCCCAGGTTCCAGCAGGGACTCCCTCACCTTCCGGAAGTGGGGAGGGAGGAGAGAGTGTTCTCCCAGCTACTCTGCCTCCCTGAGCGGGCCCCAGCTGCCCTTCTGCCCTGGCTCCCTGTGGCTCCAGCCTCCTCTACACCAAGCCTGCAGGGGCCGCGCTGGCCAGGCAGCTGGGCCATCTAGGGTCTTGCATGAACTTGCCTGCCACCTTAGGCATGCCCCTCCCTGGGCCTCAGTTTGCTCCTGTGATTTAATGATACAGTGGTGTGATTTAATGACGCAAGTTGCTCACATGGGGAAAGAGAAGATGAATGTGAAGGAAATGGGGGGGGGGTTACTTAGTAGGGTGCTGGCAATGGTCTTCCAGAGAAGGCTAGGGTGCTGGCAATGGTCTTCCAGAGAAGGGGGTACTCAGAATATAATTACAGAGGCCTAGCGTGGTGGTACAAGCCTGTAATCCTAACACTCGGGAGGCTGAGACAGGAGGGTTGCCACAAGTTTGAGGCCAGCTTGTCTTAAAAAACAACAACAAAAAAATAAAAAAAAAACATTACGGGGACAAGCAGAGGACCAGAGTCTGACAGCTCCCAGAGTCTGAGGACACATTCAGCCCGGCCCCTTTCAGGGCTTTAACCTTGTTTACAGAAATGGGAATTTGCATGATGAAAATAACCCCAGCCGGACTGCGATTTTACTGCGCTTGGCACGGGACTCGGAAAAAGCGGCTGCATAGCCAATTACTGGAATTTTAAAACACAAATAATATTTTATGGGATCAGTGGGCTGGCGCAGGGCCGCCGCACCCGGCGTGGCTCCTCTGCCCACAAACAGACTCTGATTGTGCGGCGGGCAGCGCGCTGGACCTCGGGACTTGGGGACCCAGCGGGGCGCGCGGGGGTCGCGGCGCGGGCAGGTGCACCGCGGGCCGAGCGATC